GGTCATATATCTAGTGACAAAGTACCACGGATACTTTTTAGATGACCCAATATATGACCATCAACACACATCTAGTGACAAAAAACCGCGGATACTTTTTAGATGACCCAATACTTTATATTCTTATACCATGCTTACATCCATATTACATGAATCTTATAAGCATGACTCTTACACGCATGTTACATGAATCTTGCAGGTTACGAATTTTGCGCACATGTAACGTGAATTTCGGAAGAATATAACTGGAGTGTTATTATGAAAATATTGGGTCATCTAAAAAGTATCCGCGGTTTTTTGTCACTAGATGTGTGTTGATGGTCATATATCTAGTGACAAAGTACCGCGGATACTTTTTAGATGACCCAATACTATACTATAGGAATTTTGTATAATTTATTGCATATCCCAGTAAATAAAATGAAATGGAACAAGCAAGGAGTTGAATAAGATTTAAAAGAATTTATTTTGGCTAAAAATTAATTTTTACACAAATCGAATAACGGCTTCTCGACTATCTAAATCAAACTTAATTTGAGAAAGGAGCATAAAAAGCCTACGCTAGTTATAGCGAAATTATAATTTATCAATTCATTAAGACTGTAATAATATACGACTTTTTATTCAGTCATCTTTAGTATTCTAACAAATTTTTTTATTTTTCTTATTTTATTTTTATTTTAATCTAATTTCTGTTTGTTCATTAATTCCATTCATTTACTGATCATATATAATTTTGCTTTCCTGCCAAGTCACATTCGAGTATTTGATTCTTGTTTTTGGAATAGGTCTACTGGGGAAAACACATTAAAAAACAAAATGCTTCTTACAATACCGCGGGTGATGTTGAAAGCTATTGTCGAAATGCTCTATTGTTGAAATGTTATCATAATTATGTAATGTATTAGAAAACTACGTTAAGATATAAGTATATTATTAAAAAAATAATGAATAAATTAACAATAAAAAATTTTATGTTAATAGAAATAAATTATTTAATAAAAAAAACATGTTTCAACAATAATTTGGCGGAAGATGCGCTCCCACTATATTTCTGATATAGAAACGCTCCTAAGCCAGAGCGTCACGTGAGCATGGCGGCTCCC